TGTGTGTGTGTGTGAAAGAGAGAGAGTATGTATGTGTGTGTGTGTGTGTGTGTGAAAGAGAGAGAGAGAGAATGTGTGTGTGTGTGTGTGTGAAAGAGAGAGAGTATGTATGTGTGTGTGTGTGTGTGTGTGAAAGAGAGAGAGAGAGAATGTGTGTGTGTGTGTGTGTGAAAGAGAGAGAGTATGTATGTGTGTGTGTGTGTATGTTCTTTTTCTCTGGGTTTTTTTTTTCTTCTGTCGTTCTGTCTTGCTTTCTCCCAGCTGTGAACAACTGGTGATATCACTTTGATGTGTTTGTCGTTATTTTTACCTTCCTGTTTTGATTTTGAGTAAGGTGAAGTAACAGACAAATGTCTTTGTGGGTGGTTGGCGAGTGCTCTAGTGTGGGTTTGCTCCTTCTTTCCTATCGAACATCTAGATCTATCGTCCTTATCGTCCTTCTTTTTATATTTATTGTTACTCACTTGTAACACCTCTAATCTTCGGCTCTTATATGACCTTATTGTGTTGCAAGTGCCGTAAAACTCTTACTAAAACAAAGTGGGTGGTTGGTGGGTGCTCTGGTGTGGTTTGCTACTTCTTTCCTATCAAACATCTATCGTCCTCATCTCCCCTTCTTCTTTTTTGTATTTATTGTTACTCTCTTGCAACACCTCTAATCTTCTGGCGCTCATATGACCTTATGCAGTTGCGAACGCCGTAAAACTTCTACTAAAAACTTTTTAAAAAAGTATTTATTGTTACTCTCACGTAACACCTCTAATCTTTGGCACATATATGACCTTATTGTGTAGCGAGTGCCGTTACAGTTTTACTAAAGCTAAAACTAAACTAGGAATAAAGTAACAGAAATGTTTTTTTGTCTTTGTGCAGAGTCGAAGAAGTCGGAGGTGGACATAGCAGCAGAGGGTCAGCTGTTGGAGGAATTGTTGGATGTTGTGGAGCAACGGAACACGCTAGTGGCCATGTTGGAGGAGGATAGACTAAGGTAGTGTGTGTGTGAGAGAGAGAGAGAGAGAGATAGAGAGAGAGAGAGGAACATGCTAGTGGCGATGTTAGAGGAGGATAGATTCAGGTAGTGTGTGTGTGTGTGTTTGTGTGTGTGTGTGTGTGTGTGTGAGGTAGAGAGGGTAGGAGTTGAGTGTTTTTTGGGTGGGAGAGAGAAACACATAGAGAGAGGAAGAAAAAAACAAAACAGAGAGTGAGTGATGAGAGAGTGATGACTGGAAGAGTGAGAGGAGAGAGGGGGAAGGAACAGCAAGACAAAAGAGCGAATGATGAGACAGTGATGACCGAAAGAGTGAAAGGAGAGAGAGAGAGAGAGAGAGCGAGAAGGAAGAGCAAGACAGAGAGGGATGAATGAGAGAGTGATGAGAGAGAGAGAGACAGAGAACAAGACTGAAAGAGAAAAGAAGAAAAAGAGAAGTAGAGAAACTCGTGTATCTGAGTGTGCCGTCTGTCCTTCCCCAGAGAGCAAAAGGAGGACAACGAGCTCAAGGACATGATGCTACAGAAAGGCTTCGTCCTCTCCCCTCTCAGCTATGACACGCGCCGGGAACGACAGAAGATCGAAGCCCCTCTGGCCTCCGTGGCGTTATGATAACAACTTCGGGCGTCTAGGAAGGAACTTAGTCAGTGTTTTTTGTATGCTGTGATTTTGTTGTTCTCTTCGATATCTCTGTCTGTGACCTCTCATGGGAGGGAGTGTGTCTGGTGTTTGTGATGTAGTGAAAGATGAACGTTTTCTCGATGATGGAGCAGGGAAGTATTTTATAATGATAGATAATAGATAGCATTTGTAGATAATAGATAGCATTTGTACAGCGCAAATCCCCGCTCAACAGCAAGTTCTATGCGCTTCACAATCTACTATGCCATTATTACCCCAGCAGACCTCGGTCCTATCGGAGACGGACGTTAAACTAGGAGGTCCCGCCCCTTAAATAACCTAATAGTGTTGATATCAACAGACACATATCAGGACAGAGATAAATGGAAGGAGCTTGTATGTGGCCTATACCCTGCCAGGGGTGAAAGGCATTGATGATGATGACGGCGTAGATTGCTGAGTCTCATATCTTGAGTTTGTGCTACGGCGTGCATTTCCTGTGTGCACAGAATTCAGCGTGCTGGTATAAGTCATCTTATCTCCGCACAGTTCAAAAAGTTGTTCCAAAAATTGTTTTCAAAGTAAAAATCAATTCAGAGCTCTAATTTTCTGATGCTTTGTCAGGGCAAAGTTCGTACTTTTGGGGGGTTTTATGCTGGGCTTTGAGTCGTCGTAGCATGTAGGGAATATTTCTGGTGTACAATCCAGTTTTGAACTCTTGTTTTTTTGTTTTTTTTTGTAAAGTGTTTTACGGCGCTCGCAACTGCATAGGTCATATGAGCGCGCGGGACACCCCTAATATTTCCAGTTGGTAGGAAATTTTGAATTTTGCCCGGGTGGCGGCCGAAGCCTACTCTTATCGATTTTAGACCACCAAGGGATCTTTAACGGCAACTTGCACATGGGCCCTCCGAGATTTTTCGCCCTTGTCCGAGAAGGCTAGGTGTAGATCTTTCCTACCAGAAGATCAGGGGTGTGGCAGAAAGACAGCAGTAAGGAGTAGCCAAGGAGCAGCAGTAGAAAGGCTGCAGAAAGAGTCAGGAGCCCAGAGGAGGGGGCAAAGGAGGTGATGGGGTGGGGGCAGAAAGTGGAAATGAAAGCAGACAACAGAACATTGCTAGAGAGCAGGAAAGGAGGTGAAAGGAGACAATTTTAGAGAAGAAAATTTTTCGGTCGCTACCCGGATTCGAACCCGGGACCTTTGAATGAGAGGCCAACACCTTAACCTCTAGGCCACGAGAGCCCCCGTTTTGTACTCTGGCTGGGGAACGCGAGACCCTAAATTTGTGGTTTGTCTACAATGATGGATAGTTTTGGCTTACTGTATATGTACACAAGTGTGTTTGTATCATGTTTGTGTTTGCTTCAGAGATCTGGTTGTTTCCTGTTGTCAGGGATGTCGCAGGGACTTGGGGGGAAAATTGAAAATGTATAAAGTTGTATTTACAAAGAGACAGTTTAATAGACACAACTGATATATATGGAATTAAACAGGGTGGGGAGGGGGAGGGGGAGGGGGGGGGGTAAATGCGTAGAACAGTAAGTATTTTGAAACATTTTTTCTGTGAAAATAATTTTTTTTAAAATCATAAAAACCACAAAAACAGCGTTCCTCCGTTGTAATTAAGTTTAAGAGAAATGCTGTTGTGGTTATATAATCAATGGGAACTAATTTGTAAAATAAAAACTACCGACAGTGACAGTTTATTTGAAATGATTAATTCCCTGTTACAAGTACGAAGCAAGGTACGGTCAAAGGAGGAAAGAGAAGTGTGTGTGGTGAGTGTTCATCTGTGTGTGTGTGTTTGATAGTGTGTTTGTTTGTTTGTTTGTTTGCTGCTTCATCCTTTCCTTGTGGATCAATACTCACCGGTCTCATACACATAGGCTTGTAGATAAAACATTAGCTTGATACAGATGTGAGATTGTCGGCTGATGAAGGAAAGTTCTTGACTGTTGTGGGAGGAATGAATGTTTGAAATATTTCCAGTGCAATAATATTATTACAGTATGTGTATGTTGTTTGTGTGTGTGTGTGTATGTGTGCGTGTGTATGTGTGTGTGGATGGTGAGGTATTTACTGCTGTATAGTATAAATATCACCCTCAACTTCCGGTCGGGTCGTAATTTTTCTCATTTCTTTTTTCTCATCCTGGTTCATGTGCTGTCCTACCATGTTATTATTCAGTGTTTTCTATTTATAACAATAAACCGTGGCATAAACACAACTACCACTATCGTTGTACAGAGATAGAAAAAATTCTTGAAGAGTATCGTATCCGTGGGATCAGGTGTGAAGAGTGTGTCGGAGAGCCTACTTTAGGCATCATGTGAGACAGAATGATTCTTTCGTGGTGAGGCTGTGGGGAGTCTCTCTGTTGAACACATCGCGACCCCAGTACTTTCTTATTGTATCTTTATTTTTAATAACGGTGAAAACAGTTCATAACAAAGAGTGAGCTTAAGAAAAAGTCTCATTTTCACTGCTAAAAAAAATGGGAGATACGACAAGAAAGCACTGAGGTCACGACACGCGTATCCAAAGTTCAGTTCTCTACTAGTGTGTATTGAGAGGTGTCGCGTGTGGGCACTTTCTGCGGAATGTGACCTTCGTGTTTTTGGAGGTGATAGATATTGCGTTGTTTATTACAAATTTTTATGATATTGTCCTTCTGCAGACTAGAATGAGATGTCTTGAGAGTACAGCTGAGTGCTTAGATTAGATAGAACTGCTACCTTTGTCAAGTCAAATACAGTGGAATCCATGCTTACAATGAGTTTGAATAAGCAGAACATTTTTGCAGACTGATTATGATTAAACAGTTGCTTTGGTCCTTGGGATTTGTTGGGTTTTTTATCTTATTTGTACATAATGATTGAAGTCCCAATGACTTTCATCCATTTTTTGTGTATTAGAGAACACCAGAGGTAAGGGGGAGGAAGGATAACTGAAGTAGGTGTGGACTTTGGCATTGTTAAAACCAGACGGCTTTGTCATAACACGGCCAAAAAAACAAAACACGTGTGAGGTAACAATTGTGTAGCCTGCCTATGGTGTTGTTAGCTACTATAACCTGTCTGTGAAATTATCAGCATATTGGCGGGTTGTTTTTTTCTTTGACCATATTCCCCAAGGTTTATGCTCGTAAATGTTACATTGATCCTAAGTTGAAGTGAATCTGTAATTTGGTCCTAGTCAAGTTCACTCTAAGAAATTGATGTATACATAGATAAGTGGGAAGACATGGAATAACATCAAGAGGCTATCCCAGGGTAGAGAAAGGTGGAAAGTGTTTGTCTGTGGCCTATATCCTGGTGCAGCAGGGTGAGAAAGGCAATGATGATGATGATGAAGTTCACTGTAACTTACTGAAAGTCTAAGTAAGGACGCTCCACTGTATTTGACTTGGCACTGTGGCAGTGGCATGTCAGATTGGTGACACTTCCTTCAGTCACGCGTGTCAGTTGTCGTGGGATGTGTGTCCGTTGTCGTGGGATGTGTGTCGGTTGTCTTCTGATGACTCTTCCAGTCACTTCCTCTGCAGTTTATTGCCCGAGCTGTAAGTAGCTTCCTGCTGGGTTCGTTGTTTGTATGTCTCCTTTTCTACGACATTTTTTGGTATTTTGTAAAATACGTGTACAGAATGCATGTGTAGCGTGGTTGGCAAGAACTTAAAGCATTACAACAACCATGAAACATTTCTCCTGTCTGTCGTGTGATGGGGCTGGGTTTGAGCCAGTATGTAGTGTATGCACGGTGGTTTGGCTCTGTATTTCACTAGACTAGTACCCTACATTACATGTAGGTCATTTATGTCTGAAGTTTCTTTGAGAGTTGAGACGGACGTTCTGAACAGCTAAGTGTGTGAGGTAGATGGTAGTGAGTACTGTCTGCTCATGGCAAACAGTTATATTAATTATTATAACGATTGCATTTGGCACAGCGTAGTAATGAAGTGCTGTCTGAATTTAATTTCTTATCAGCTAAAGATGATACTTTTTAAAACATTTTGGCACTTGTGTGTGTTGCCTGGATGGGCATGACCACCTTTGAAAAACACAGAGCTCCCTGCTTTTGTCTCACTGTTGGCTTCCCTGTGGGCTGTGCATTAGAACCTAACAGTACTAACACCAGGCCTCAGAAAACAAACGCTATTCAGAATTCGTCACATTAACAAATGCATAATTAAGGCAGTTGCAGAAATGAAAAAAAAAATACATTTTCCGAATTTGTGACGGTATAGAAATGGTACACCACCTGTCCGCTAAATGTGAAAAACAAAAATGTTTCTGATTCTTTCACATTTGCTTCATGTGTCAGATATTGTGAGCCAATGTGTAGGCCTATATAAATAATACTAAGAGGGGAAACAGGTGAAGACTATGGAGGTAAAACTGTGATGTGCAAATGCAATTTATAAAAAGTTGTTCCCGCGTCCGATCCAGACTTTGGGGATTGCCTTGTTAGTGAGACAACTTCCTGGGCCTTCGTCGGTGTATTGTGGTAGGGTGGCCAGTTCCTTTCCACACCGCCTTTACTTCCCCAACTCGGAAGTGAGGTACCCATTACTGCTGGGTGGGCAGGAGGGGGAGAAAAAAATCTGGATGCAATGAACTGCTGTCCTATTCTTCAGATCCCCACTGTACATCAAAGTGACACAAACAGATGAAATCTGTCGAAAGTAGCGCTGAAAAACTTTTAAAATTTATTAATATTTCTACATTTAACGGGAAAATGTGACATGACCAGTTTTCCGCCTATAGTCTTCATGTGCTGTGGCTGTGATGTGCTCGAGTGCACGGCTGTAAAATAAATAACTCTTCTACAATAATTAATGCGAGGAGGATATGCTGCGTCTGTGTTTGCTTGTGTATGATCTACCAGGTACCTTTGAGAGTGCCGAATGTCTAGTGAAGTGACTTTTTTGTCATTTGTATTTCTTCAATATCAGCAACATTTAGAGTCAGGGTGTGGTGTTTGTGGTGTGTTTGTGTGTGTGTGTGCTTGTGTGGCCCTGAACTGTCAGAAGGCAAGGCTTTGTGTGATTGTGTTTGTGCGTGTGTGTGTGTGTGTGCTTGTGTGTGTGTCTTCTTGTATGGCCCTGAACTGTCAGAATGCAAGGCTTTGTGTGAGTGTGTGTGTGTGTGCTTGTGTGTGTCTTCTTGTATGGCCCTGAACTGTCAGAATGCAAGGCTTTTTGTGTGTGTGCGCGCGTGTGTGTATGTGTGCTTTTGTCCATGAGTATGGTGAGTGTGATAGAAAAACGTCTCTTGTCTATACATGACATAAAGAACAGTTGTATTACATTGATACATGGAATAAACTTTGATAAATGCTTCACCACACACTTGTTTCTTGTTCATCTCCCAGAAGTCGGCGTGTCTGCTGACTAGATGCTGTTATATGTGTCAGGACGCGGTGGAATCAGGTGCTCGTCAATTTTGGGGCATATGGAGTTTTTGTTCGTTTGTCTTGCATTTGGCAAAAAAAAAAAAACTTATCTTAAACAAAAGTCAAAATATTTTCGATTGAAGGAGGTGGGGGTAGCCTGGTGTCGGAGGTAGATCTAATATTAGCGAGAAAATGGCTGCCAAAGTTTGGCGACTTCCAAAACTTGAGTGTCCTTGGAAATTGCAAAATCTGTCCCCGCAGAATTATTCAAATTTAGATAGCAAAAATGCAAGAAAAATGCAAAATTATGCAAAAATTATATTTTGCAAGTTACCGTAACGCCATTCGCGACATATTTTGCACTTTTTCAACAAGAATTTTCATGTTTTATGTACAGAAAAAGTGGAAACAGAACATGTCAGTATCAGTAATTTTTTGTGTATTTGGAAAGAAAACAATCCACATCAGTCAGAAAAAAACAACAACCAAAAATTATAATCTCTGTAACTTTCAGAGAAATACAGGAAAGAAAAATGTAGAAAAAAGAAAAAAAAGACATCTGGACCTCTGATGCTGGCACATCACTAAAACCAGGGACACCTGGCAAACATGAAACATCAGCAGATATGAGAACAACTTTTGATTGATTGAAAAATTGAACATGCTCAAGGAACAAAATCCCTAACCCATAACCATTAACCAAGATCCTCTTACAAGGGAAAAAACCAACTTGTCACTTAAATGAGACTTATTACGGTGATTAGTCACATGGTGACTTTGTTTTGTGAAAAAAAAATTTAAAACGCGGGGAATCCAAAATTATGCAAATGTTGCAGAATTACGCGAAAAAACGCGGCCGCATCGCATAATCCGACGGGGGCATCAAAATACTTTTTTGTTTTGGCTTTTGATGAACGTTTTTCAGAAAAATCCAAACAAATATGTCCAGAAATGGACATAGAAAGTAGCCCACTGAGCAAAAAAAAAAAAGAAATTTTTTTTTAAATTGCCGAACAGCCAGAAAAATGTTGATTTCTTTGATTACAATAATTGTAATTATTACATTATTTTGACGATTAGCGTAAATCTCCCAGCCTGTGCACTCTACTGCAACTACATCCACATATCACATAAAATCATTCTTTTGTGGTGGTTGGTTGGTGCGTGCTTTGGTGTGGTTTACTCCTTCTTTCCTATCAAACATCTATCGCTATCAAGTATCATCTTTATCTCTGTATCTCTCATTTTTTTGTATTTGTTACTCTCTTGCAACACGTTTAATGTTTGACACTTATCTGACCTAATTGTGTTTGAAGAGCCGCAAAACTCTTATTAAAACAATTCTTTTCTGAACATATTGGTGGGTGTTGCATGCTTGTAGCGTGAAATCTTATCTTTTTTATGCTGAAAAACACAAACATTTGCTATTTCTGTCTCTGTGGCTTTATGCACCCCGCCTATTTTAGATAAATTTGATCACTTTTGGCATAATTTCTGATTATTTTCCTTTATCATTCTTTGTTAAAATTAACAGAATCGCATAATTTCACATTTTTGGGCTCAGTTTGCATAATTTCAGAATTTTTCTTGCATAAAATGACAGGGACAGTTTTTTCCAACTAAACATGCAGCGACAAACCTTGGTTTAGGCTTACGATTTTAAAAATATTTTTAAAAAGAAAGCTGCGATTTAATAGTCCATCACTGGAAGTCAGTTTTTAGTTTTAGTAAGAGTTTTACGCCACTTGTAACACAATAAGGTCATATAAGTGCCGAAGATTAGAGGTGTTACAAGAGAGTAACAAACACAAAAAAGGAGAGATGAGGACAATAGATGTTTGATAGGAAAGAAAGAGCAAACCACACCAGAGCACCTGTCAACCACCCACCTGGAAGTCATGATTACAAAACGGAGATCACTCCAGAAAGGAACTTTGGCCGTTCTTTGGACTTTATTACACATATTTGAATCTATAATATCCTAGACTTTGAGATATCATGGCCGCCGTTCCCCCCCCCCCCCCTAAAATCTTCTCTGCAAAGCGTGTTCACTATGGGCCATGGGTGCTTACGACTTGTGAGAATTTGTTTGAATAGGGTTTGACACTCTTCTTTTTCATAAATAATTAAAAGAAACTTTTTCTGGACTAGATCTGATGTCAGTGCGAGAAAGTGGGGAAAGAGAATCTAGGTACATGTAGATCTATATGATATATATATTTACTATATACCAGGACATATTGTAGGCTTCCCTGAGTGGGAATCAAACACACACCTGTGGACACACACCTGTGAACAACTAAAAATCCTTTCCCAGGGCGTCGTGGACTCTGCTGAGCAAAGACTCAAACCCCTCACCTTTAGATAAGTCCAGAGGAAACATGACAATACTGCCGTAAGCTGACAAAACGCCTTTTTTTTTTCATTTTGACGCCACCAATTTTTAAAAAAAATTTTTTTAGTAAGAGTTTTACGGCACTTGCAACACAATAAGGTCATATAAGTGCCGAAGATTAGAGGTGTTACAAGAGAGCAACAAACACAAAAAAGAAGGAGGGGAGATAAAGACAATAGATGTTTGATAGGAAAGAAGGAGCAAACCACACAAGAGCACCCGCCAACAACCCCCAACATTTTTTATTTGCTTAATCGAAAGCCTGATCACAGATCAGTTACCCTACTACTGCTTGTGTATGAAAAAATCAAAGTGAAACTGTGACTAGTTTTTTTGGAATAAATTAGAATTCAAATTTCGGAATCACTATTTTTAAGGGTATAAGCGGTGGATAAAAGTAAGACTCGATTTCTAAATGGTTACGCTGACAAAAAAAACTATTTTTCTCGGAACTGCTGTAGAGAAAAAAAGTCGTTTTGTCAGTTTACAGCAGAATGCTTCCAACACCAAATGAGAATACAGAATATTTCACGAAGGAATAGATCTAGTAACAATCCCGATTTGGAAAGCTACAGAGCCTGCTGAGCATATTCCTTCCTTTGTATTTCGCACCTTACGCTTCGACTTCGTGTATATATACAGGCAATTACACTATTTGAATGTTATCCACAAATTCCCAGAAGGACACATACTCACAGACACAAGTGGAATAACACACCCACAAACACACAAGTGGAATAACACACCCACAAACACACAAGTGGAATAACACACCCACAAACACACAAGTAGAAAAACACACCCACAAACACACAAGTGGAATAACGCACCCACAAACACACAAGTAAAATAACGCACCCACAAACACACAAGTAAAATAACGCACCCACAAACACACAAGAGAAAAACACACCCACAAACACACAAGTAAATTAACGTACAGTATAACACACCCACAAACACACAAGTAGAAAAACACACCCCCAAACAAACAAGTAAATTAACGTACAGTATAACGCACCCACAAACACACAAGTAAATTAACGTACAGTATAACATACCCACAAACACACTAGCGAAATAACGGACCCACAAACACACAAGTGGAATTAAGTGACAAAAGTTTATTCCATATGACATGACAGATGATTTGTAACAATGGTCAGATGCCGGAGTCTCCTCACCACCTCTAGACCAAGCATCCAGATACAGGAAGTGATCATCATGCTTATTCATTCCTCACAAACAAAAAATATAATGTTGCCAGTGACGTTCACAGAAAGTAAAAAACTTCAATTTTAAACAAGTTTAAAATAAACCGAGGGACACAACAACAAAAATGGAGGGGAGGGGGAGTACAAGACCCATAGAATGACCCAGATTTCTGTTTAAAAAAAACAATTTTTGAGACGATATCCTTACATTACCCTTCATATCACTGACCAAAAGTGCTATAGCTGAAATTAAATCGACACGAATGTAAAATATTACTTACTGCAAAAGAGTCTTTGTAGCATTATAGTAATATGTAGTCATCGATCCAGACATCATAGTAATATAAACCCCAGGTAAAGAAGCCTATCTGCTGAACAGCAACAAAAACCACAAAATTCTTCTCAGCGACTGCAACCACTAACAGTATAAAGTGTTGTTCAGGCAGGGACATGATGTGACGGACGGCTCTCCTCTCATTGGTCCATGGTGTCGTCCACAGACTGCGGGTCCGCTGGGACAGGCTCGGGCTGAGCCCCGCCCTCTTCCTCTGCCTCCATCGGGGCCTGTGGGTGGCAGGAGAGACATCCATGTTGAAACTCAGTTTTTGTTTTAGTTACAGTTCTATAGCACTAGCAACACAATTCGTTTGAAAAGTAAGAGGTTTTCCCGACACTTGCAGCACAATAAGGTCATAAAAATGCTGAAGATTAGATGTGTTACTTGAGAGAAAAGAAAAATCAAGTAAAGTTGGTCCCGCATCCGAACTGGACATTGGGGATTGCCTCGTTAGTGAGACAACTTCCTGGGCCTTCGGCATAATATTGTGGTAGGGTGGCCAGTTCCTTTCCATGCTGCCTTTAAGTAAAAGTTTTACTTCCCCTACTCAAAGTCAGGTACCCATTACTGCTGGGCAGGCAGGAGGGGGCGGAAAAATCTGTGACCGAACCGAGGCTCAAACCCCAACGTACCACTTCGGAGACAAGCGCACAAAGCGCTCCGCCACCGCACCCTCTACAAGAGAGTAGCATACACAAAATAAAAAGGAGGAGGACGCTTGATGGGAAAGAAGGAGCAAACCAAACCAGAACAACCACCAACCACCCACAAACTCAGTTTACCACAAGTCCAATTAGTGTAGCACGTGACCAGTCAGCACAACGCTGACCATGTTTCACCGGGAACAAAATCTGAGTTATCTATTTCCTTGGGAAGTGTCTACGTACTCCCCGATTGGGGTCTACGTAGTCATGGTGTCTTGGTGGACCCCAAAAATGTTGGATTGTGATTGGTTGTAAAAGAGCATGAGCCTTTCATTAGCAATTTGCAAAAATGGCCGCCCCCCTGGAATCGACTAGATCCAGTCCCGAGAAGGCCACACTATCTGGCCTTCTCGTCCAGTCCCCATGTATGAATCAAGTTGCATGATAGGCCTAGTGTGTTCCGCCAATTCACAGGCAAGTAGTCAAGAGTCGCTCTTCGGTCATTCGCCCACCAGGCCACTACTAGATCTAGAATCTAAATCTAGCCCGAACTGCATACTCTTGGCTGGGTGCACAACAAAATCTAGATCTAGATCTAGATACGTTTATTACGTTTATTCATTAAATACTCTCTCACTCTCTCTCTTGGCTAAAATAAATTAATTATAATAACACAAGATAGACATACTACCCGAGATGATCAGTAAGTAGGCCTAGCAGCCTTGCATTGTAACCAATGTAAACTACCGCTCGCTCAGCGAGCCAATCACAATCCAACATTTTTGGGGTCCACCTAGACACCATGACTACGTGGACCCCAATCGGGGAGTACGTAGACACTTCCATTTCCTTGTTTGAATACAGTGAAGCACATCAAAATAATAACGAGTTATTTGGTGGAAGGAATCCCACAACAAGTAGATCCAGAGAGTCTCTCATGAGGAGCGAACGTGCCGTGAGCTATTATAAGAAAACTACACATCAATTTGAAAAGAACTAAAAGAAAGAAAGTCAAGCAACAACTGGAAATAATGGCCTCCGCAGAGACAATCTCAATAAAAATCTGTCAACTTTTCACAGGACGGAGGAACAGTACAAGGTGAAAACCGAGGAACAGCAATTCAAAAGCCCACTGGCAAGACAAACTGTCAACAACAACAAAATTTTATCAGAACGCACAACGCCAGTTTGCATCTACTCACGAAAATGTCATCAAACCCAGCGGGTGGAAGAGACAGCTACCGAGAAAACAACAGACTCTGATCAAACATGTAACCACCACACACAAAGTGGAAGAGACACACAAACTCACTTACTACAACTGTAACAAGTGTACATTTTTACACCCCTTCCACACAATTTAGGTCCTTTACAAGGCAGGCTGCTTCAAAGCCTGGGCAGCGTGGGATACAGTTACGTATTATATCGGCAGATGGAGACACTCGATAAAATCACTTTCCCCTCCCAGAATCAAACTCGTGTCTTCTGCTTGCAACAGCAAAGAGCCTAGTCACTACACTACCACAGACACCAGTCTGACGCCATTACACCACAGACATCAGTCTGACAAGCTCACGGACAACTGCCACAAGGCAAAAGTCGCCCAGAGAAAGGCTGAAGTATTGTGCCAAAACGTTTTCTTCTTGTTGTTATCAATGCAGGTGCAAACAAATGTTGATGTTGTTATCAATCCAGGTGCAGGCAAAAAGTTGTGATTGATGTTTTCAATCCACGTGCTAAAAAGTTAAAATTTTATTTTTAGCCTGTTTAACATGAAAAAGAAAAATCCAATTTGCACTTTGAAAAGATTCACCCCATGCCACATTGGACCTCAGTAAAAAACTTACGAGAGTATATTTATTGTGATTTGAACTCATTTTTCACAGAAAAAAAAAAAAAAGGACAACTCACGGCAGACTCTTCTTGAGGTGCGCGGGAGCTCCTTTCTTCTCCTTCAATCAAAGCCAGCTGACACACGGTGAAGGAAAACACTTTCACAATGTGTGAGGCATCGTGGTGAAATCAGGCACTCGTCAAAGTAATGAATTCTAAGAAACACGCAGTTTTCTGCCATTTTTCTTATTTTAAGCAAATTTTTTATTTCTGGTTCAACACCATTTATGTCCATATATAAAAACACATTTCCATGTGAATTTTACTGAAAAACTTTGGTTAAAGGCACAAAGTATGTAAATTTTCAGTATTCAAAGACACTCAAGCTACCGGTATTGAAATTGAAGTTACCAAAAGTTGGCAGCCATTTTCTCATTAATTTTACCTCTGAAACCATGCGACCCCCTCCTCCTTCAATTGAAAATAGAAGAATGCTTTTTTCTTCATAAAAAAGACGAATGAAAACATTTTCAGATAATACCAAGAACTCAATGTGCCCAAAAATTGAACAGCGCCCGATTCCATCACGTCCTGACACATATCAGAAAAACACAACTAAACCCGCCTTTCCACTTACTTCTTCTTCATTGACTAGAAAACCCTTTCCTAATGCACAGTATCACACACATTCAAATCTTCCCTCCTCTTCTCACCATCCCCAGTTTAACTACTTCTAAGGATACCAGCATTATAGTTCTGACATATATTATACGTCTTTTCTAAGGACTTAACTTCATTACCACTGGAAACAACATAACCTGATACAATTTCCTATTATTGTTATTGAATAGCAAACTCCAACTCTCCAACAATCCTGTTATAGCCTGAACCCAACACAAAGCCTGAAAGTCACAAAGTAATAAATGTGACGTAATGAATCAACAGACACACACACAGACATGTTGACGAGCACAGAAAGGATACATATGGGGCCACAGCATCATCGTCTAAGATGGCAAACTTGGTGTCTTTTGCAGCAATTCCAATGGAGCAGTTCTGTCAAATGAAAAAAACAATCCACATAAAAAGATCCATCCATTCATATTGACCATTTCTCTCTTTATCCATACGGATAGGTGATATTTTGGGCTTTACCACGACATCCCTGTCCCCTTTTCTCCTTCATTCCATCTAATTTTAGAAACCTTTCTCCATTATGAGTAGTTGTTACTTTACCAACACCCACTTTCATCTAGTGAAGATAATTTTTTTGAGAGCAAGAAAAAACCAAACCTTTTTTTTAAAATAAAAAAATTGAAACCTATAATTCTTACACGAGGCGAAAAAACAAATCTACCAATTAACCTGATTTTTTTACTCCCACTAGAAAAAGCTACAGTTTCTTCCTATACGCCTACATTTTGAAGAGTGCGTTAATGATTCTGCTAGTAACATAATTTTTTTTTTTTGTGACATGACGGGACATACTACCATTGAAAAAAAAATAAAAATTCAGTTTGAGACAAGATCTAGAGTTCAGTAATCCACAAAAGATTATGAGGGAAAGGTCATCTGCTGTGAAAGTGAGGGTCTAGGGACTCACCTTCTGTGTGAGGTCCACCTCCGTCGGCAACGTGTCCCTCAAGGCTCGCAGACCGTGCTTCACCAGCTCATCCAGAGAACCTGACACACACACAGAGAAACAACACAACTTTAGTCATGATAAGATAAGATAACACTTTACTATCCTAAAGGGAAATTTTTTCTACACATGCAGGTATATATAAAAAATTTGAATTTATATATATTACTCTCATTAAAATTCAATATGAAAAGAGAAGTAAAGCTGACAAAATGTACATATCACATCAGATGCATCATTCAACCACATGCAGGAATTTGATTACAAGACCTTAGGAGTTATATAGACACATACTCTAAAGAGCAATACACATCTACTGACATAGTCTCAACCAAACAGAAGATCTAGACCTTTGCCCATCGTATTGTGCCAAGTATTTTCAAAACCTTTTTAAGGATCAACTTTGAACACAAGAGAAAATGACAAGTACACAAAATATACAGGTTAGGAAATAGGTAGAGAAAGTGATAACGCACTTTCCTGTGACTTTTTATTCTGACTGACAGACAAGTGTGTCCACCACAGAGCCATATGTGAAGATTTATAAGCTGTCAACCTCACAATCAGACACTAAATGAGACAATTAGCCTTTCAGAGTTTTTTCCCTGAACAAATCTCAGGGAAAGATCATGGTATTGGAATTACATCTAACAATTTACATCTACATGGCCATCATTAGTCCCCTGGAATTTACCAGTACAAAACAGTGTTATGCCACACTAATAGACAAAATTATGTTCACACATCAAATTCTATATCTAAACTTCTTCTGAGACTCAGCAATATTACAAAGCTGACACTGAAATAACCAGTGGTGATGCCACTATCAGAGAATAAATTATTATTTTTTTAGTATAGGTTTTACGGCGCTCATACCTGCAAAAGGTCATATGAGTGCCAAGGGGTGGATGTCAACAGAGAAGTCTTTACAGGGAATCAGACTTACTCCGCTCACCTCTCTAGCTTCAACAGCACAAAGTCTGCTTCGATTTTCAAGGAACCCCGGAAATAGCGGGTCACAAGAGTGTGACAAACGTACAAAAGAAGTAGAGGAAAATGATGAGTAGGATTCGGAAAGAAAAAGCAGCAGTTCCCAGTTGCAGTTCAGGCATAGTTATGAGCATGACATTGATGAATCAGCCCATTCACAATTACAATTCTACTGTGCATAAGAACATGGTTAATGTCCCCCCCCTTTGGGAATGGCCTAAAGACACTTCAGTCAGTGGCACTGCCCCGGGGGGGGGGGGGGGTAGAGAATGAATGCCATAACGAAGACGTACAATCCAGAAAGACGTCGAGGTGCTTCTCCAGGTATGTTCTGGCCGACTGTGACCTGGCTCCGATGGCCATGGCTTTACAGTCGTAGTAGTTGGCCGATGGGCAAGTCTGGTAGATGTGGGGACCCTGAGACTGGAGGTTGGGGAAACAAACAAAACAACAAAGATGTCATAAAGAGAAAAAAACAGTGAAAAAGATATTAAAATACGATTCACTACAAGGAGCCATCCGGAATTCAAAAGTACAATTGACATCCCTGCGTACAGAAAGAGCAACTCACAGAGAAAACACTGTAACAATCCTTTGAAAACTTACTGTCTTTTTGGCCAGACAAAGTTTATCTAAAAAATGTTGACAAGTGAGTGCTTTGATCACAACCAAGATAGCCCACTACAGCAAACTTGTACGAATAAAAGTCTAAATTGAAAGAAGAAAGTAGAAGAAGAGAAGAAAGAAAAGTAGAAAATAAGAATAAAAAGTAGAGGAGGAGGAAGAGAAGACTAATTTCTTCAACAAGTGTAAACTACCAACACAGCAGACTAGCATCATCACAAGCTTGTTTTGTTTTTTTGTGTTTTTTTGTAAGTGTTTTACGGCGCTCGCAACTGCATAAGGTCATATGAGCGCGCGGGACACATTAAACTTTTTCAGTTGGTAGGAAATTTTGAATTTTGCCCGGGTGGCAGCCGAAGCCTACTCTTATCGATTTTAGACCACCAAGGGATCTTTAACGTGCGCAAATTGCACACGGGCCCTCCGAGATTTTTTGCCCTAGTCCGAGAAGGCTAGGTGTAGATCTTTCCTACCAGAAGATCAGGGGTGTGGCTGAAAGACAGCAGTAAGAAGAAGCCAAGGAGTAGCAGTAGAAAGGCTGTAGAAAGAATCAGGAGCCCAGAGGAGGGGGGCAAAGGAGATGAGGGAGTGGGGGCAGAAAGAGGAGACGAAAGCAGACGACAGAACATTGCTAGAGAGCAGGAAAGGAGGTGAAAGGAGACAAATTTAGAGAAGAAAAGGTTTCGGTCACTACCCGGATTCAAACCCGGGACCTTTGAATGAGAGGCCAACACCTTGACCTCTAGGCCACGAGAGCCCCCTTCATCACATCCCGGGCGTACTTACATCATAGCCGGCTACTAACAATCCCACTCCAAAAGGCCGACGGCCATATCTCTGTGTAGGGATTTGTGATTCTGACAACAGAGTTAAGGTAAATATTTTTTTATTAGTTAGGTTCCTAACATACAGAATTTCCCAGGTCCTAAAACTGTCACAACAATAAAGTTTGCGTAAGGCACAGCAAAATGATGGGATCAATCGTGTGTTTGTGGTTCTTAGGAGGGGCAGAGAGATAGAGACAAAAGAAAAGGGATGCAGTAGAAGCAGCTGTGTACATCAGCAACCACCATCCACTCGTATAAACTAACCAGAACACCTTTTTGAAAGTTGAATAAGCTTAAATTTAAAAAATGGGAGGAAGGGAAAAAGATTGCTTTGACATGACAGCAATAATGCACTGAGTGACCACGAAATAAACACGGCACTCTCGTTGCCTGTGGTTCAAGGATACTGCTCCCGATCATGGAGACCAGACGTGACACGGGCAAAGGCTTGTTCCAGCCCCATCTGGAGTTCAGGCATTCGTTCCTCATGAAGTTACTGCAAAAAGACAAAGCAATACAATTACTACAGGCTCAGGCACGCATACATAGTTAGTGTGTGCCTACAACTCTTCAAACAGGCAAGCATTTTATTTTTGAAAATTAAATAAAGTGCACATACCCGTTACGAGTTATTCAGAAATGAGACAAAAACAGCAGGGGGGACAGTTAGTATAAAAAACAAAAACCGACAAGTGGTGTCACTAGAATACATGCTCCATATTTTAGTTGAATTAAATTATATAAATTAGACTACAGCATAAATGTTATACCAAATCCATATAAGCCCTTTTCAGAATCAGAGTCTTAATTTTTCACAATTTCTATCTGAGACAAACCATAATGTCAAAGTAGAAAGCACTCCTCTCAACCCAGACAGGTTATTTAAAAGGCATAGTAACAAGCCAAGTGGAAGAGGAGACATAAAAATTTCATAAAAGCACCAAAGTACGTAAATTCCTTAGAGGGGATTCCAACCATGACCAGGTACCTACTCAGAAATCTACCATGATGCCACACGAGACAAACTCGCACCCCCCATACGACAAAACAGAATTAAATATGTGAGAGGAACCCTCTGTCAAACACCTGTAAACATGACTTGCCTAAGGGCCCTTTCTTCCCCCCCCCCCCCCCCACCAAATCAAACCACTCTCACTAAACACAGGACCACCTCATATGATATTGAATGACAGACAAAAGACTATCTTGATCTTTACATTAATGTTATCTTTTAACCACTTAGCAAAGTCCTCTGTGTTTGCATTGAAAAATTTATCCTGAAGAGGGGGGGGGGGGGAGAGAGCAGAGATGGACATGTTCAAACTGCAGTGAGCCCAACACTGTGGACAAGGTGTGACATTGACAAATCTTTACCATAGCAACCGCGCATCTGCAGTGAGCCCAGCGATGGAAACAGCAACGTGGTCATCGATTGGCAAAATCTTCTTCTGGTGAGCAGACAGTTCTGAGGGGGCCCTCTGCAATAAGAGAATTATTCATACAGTCTAGTCAGTGACAGACATTACAACCACTTCTTTCTTACTTCATGACCTTTTTCTTCTCAACAAAAAGCAATTTAAGCGAACCGTCTTCTGTTTTGGAAGGAAAAAAAAGAAACCCCGTACGACTGTTTCAATGTAGGTGCAACTAGTGTTTTAAATCATGTTGAAGTGAGAAAACTCAAATAAGTTTCACCAAATACCCAAAGAGACTGGGTCAGCTTCATCATGACTAGATCGAGTAAAACAGTTGTAACAAAATTCTAAATTATTGAAATCAATCCAGCTCCTGCAGGCTTTTTTATTTTTGCTGAACATTTTGGCCTGGGTTGGAAGGGTTACATAAAACACGAATGTGTTTCACATCTGCTGATCTTTGGGTAATCAAGCGGTGTTTGTGTCAAAGGTACGATAAAACTAAGTACAACGGCGACTAGTGGTTACCTTCAGGGCAACGAGAATAGCATGAGTCTTGGACTTGAGTCCCACACAGGCTGAGCCTTGCTTTACGGCCTCCATGGCATACTCCAGCTGATGTATTCGACCCTGGAAGAAGAACAAGAGATACATGTACATATGTCATATTATTTGTTTAAAAAATTTTTGGTAAGTGTTTTACGGTGCTTGGAACTGCATAAGGTCATATATGAGCGCTCGGGACTCACCTAACATTTATTCATTTTCAGTTGGTAGGAAATTTTGAATTTTGCCCAGGTGGCGGCCGAAGCCTACTCTTCTCGATTTTAGACCACCAAGGGATCTTTAACGTGTGCAACTTGCACACGGGCCCTCCGAGATTTTTCGCCCTTCTCCGAGAAGGCTAGGTGTAGATCTTTCCTACCAGAAAGGGGTGTGGCTGAAAGACAGCAGCAAGAAGGAGCCATGGAGTAGCAGTAGAAAGGGTGCAGAAAGAGTCAGGAGCCCAGAGAAGGGGGCAAAGGATGTGAGGAGGTGGGGGCAGAAAGAGGAGACGAAAGCAGACGACAGAACATTGTTAGAGAGCAGGAAAGGAGGTGAAAGGAGACAATTGTAGAGAAGTAAATTTTTTGGTCGCTACCTGGATTCGAACCCGGGACCTTTGAATGAGAGGCGAACACCTTAACCTCTAGGCCACAAGAGCCCCCATGTCATTACAAAAGAATATGATCAAAAAGCTACTTATAAGAACAACACTGGTCACTGAGTCAAAAGACAAATATTTATGAATTATTCTTAGCTAGCTGTCCTAAAGACAATCATTGCAAACACATCCCATCATAACTGCAAAATTACATATGATAAACTTATAAAACAAAGGAAAATAACAGATAGATCTTCACTAACAATTATAATAATGATTATATTAATAGACAATAATAATATATATACACACAAACTTTTGTCTTTGTGATAAAGCCACATCACCCACTATTAAAATAAGAAATAAAGTTCCCATTTTGTACACAAAAAAATCTTGAAGTCAGACTGGAAAAAAATTGCATATTTGCCATGTTCCTTAAGAATTTCAAGCCTAAAACACAACCAACTAAATACCTGAGGGCTCCATACTGTCACATCGTTGTCATACTGGTTCCTGAACTGCAATAAAAAAAATACAACAAAATTTTACTCTTAGCAGCACAAAAGCTATCCCATATTTATTTGCACTCAATCTTATCCCCAATTTGTTCAGCACTACAAATTGTCTATATGAATGTCCAGCCTTATATGTAACCTAAGCATAAAAAGAAAAATCAAACACAGTAGTAATTAAACTTTTAGTAAGTTAACAGATTTTGGATGAACCAACGGCTTGCGGTCGGAACTGCTGTGCCGGTGAGCTCAGGCACATTCCTTTTCGACGACTTAGACATCAAATTACTTTCGGCAATTGCCGAAAACAGTTTTTTTTACCAGAAGTTCATTCATTAGATGAAGTAGTATCATAACACGTTCGCTAGTTTTGATTTAATGACCCATTTAGTGACCTTTTCGTCATTTTTAGATTTAGTACCAAAAAAAGGCCCCCGCTTAGTCGGTTTACCCCTGCCGGAGATAAAGAGTTAACATCTCTCTTAGCAATGTCCTGTGTGTCAGTTTCCTCGAAAGCCTACACAGATATGTCAAACTCTCTCATCTTGAAAAGCCCAATAATAAAATTTTGTCTTCACATTGTCTTGAATTCAAATTCAAATCACCCTGCGCACATGATGAAAAACAAACATATATCCACCACCATCGAGAGAGTTGGGTTATGGCCCCTCAAACTCCCCCTGCACATCATAATACACCTTTTATATGCACAGATTGCTTGGTGTCAAAATGTAAGATGTGTCATTGCACTTTATAAACCTTGTAATGTGCATCGTGCATCAGGTGCTAAACTTGTTTGAATTTCTAGTCATTTGAAGGTGGGGGGTGGGGTATGATCAAAGAAAGAAAGTGTGGTACTGCATTGGGTCATATAAGACATGTGACTAATGTGAGTGAATTGTGTTAGTGTGCGTGTGCTTGTTTGAACAAGAGAAAATATAAGTACAAGGATTGAGAAGTGATGACACACAAGAAGAGTTGGTGCGCCTGCTCTGACCAGCGTTTGTTACATCGTCATGAACAGCGGAAGTAGATGAAGGATTAAGTCAACAATGGCCGCCGGCCGCACCTAGACGAAACTCTGCATGCATCCCCGACTGATTCAAAACTTTGCGCTTGAGTATATATGATATGTAAACCACGGCAATTTCATCATTTGTAGAGGTAGAATCTAGTAACATACTGCTGTAGCAATGCCAATGAAAAATTTAATTTTCATCCAAATTACTTAAAAATAGGCTTTTAAATGAAAATAGAGTAAATTCTAAGAACTATGGTTTTTAAATTTTAAAAATCCATTGGTAAATAAAAAGTTATCGGGATTTTCGTTTGCAAAATTTTGGGGGACTTTCATAATCATATTAGGAAAATATCGCCAAAATGTGGGACATGTCTTGATGTATTTTGAGGACCTGAAAAACTGTTCAAAAGTCAGTAATGAATAGGAGTACATGAATGAAACTTTGCATCTTCATGTGATTTTTTGTGCAGAATCTATAGATGCGATCACTTTTTCGATGTCTTTATTTTATTACATTGGATATTAAAGACTGATATTTATGTGAAATTTGTTGAATTGAGTGACATTGTTTTTACTGCGACACGATCACCCCTTCTAAAACTCACTGTAAACTCAGTAAAGCGGTATTGGGAAAACCCGCGATGAAGTCATCGGTGACCTATTTAGTTATAAGCAGCCAATCACATGCCCCCTAGCCATCACGCGCCTCTTGCATTTGGAATGCGTGATCTAGTTTCCAGCTCTAGTGTTTTATCAATGGATGGGTGGTAATTTTAAGTTGGTACGTAAAATGTACTAAACGCAGAGATCTGAAATTTTACAGCAATAAAGAAGACATGTGGGGCGCCTCTGTGGTCGGCGATCACTCCGCAGCTCCACTTAGTTTTCGAACCGCAGAGGAAATTCGCACAAACACTGCAATTTCTCCGGTTCTAGAAATCGTTTGGGATTGTACGCTCGCATGTTGTTAGTTTAACCTTTCCTCTGATTGGTTGCCGAGTTTCATTTATTTTCGTCTACCAGTTTTCCCGTAACTATACTTAGAAGAGAGTCACTTCTGATTCCGAGCGTCCCAAAATTTACCCCTCGCGCGGAGGCCAATTTCAGGCCCAAGGCGCAGCGGGCGATTGGCATTGATACACACTGACTTTAGGCCTTCTGTACTGATTTTGAAGGCCATTTCATTAAGTATAAAAATGTAGAGTGGTCGCTTGTTACGGAAGTCCTCCCCCAGAATTAAACGCGAAAAAGTAAACAATTGCCCAACATTCATCTAGATCTAGAATCTAACCTGCCTTAGCCAGCTCAAACTCAAGCGGCCTTAGTCGCACCCCTACTCCCCTCCCTCATCTAGGTCACTAAATCTAGCGTCATGGCGTAAAGGTTAGAGCCGATGGAACAAACAAATTTGATAACTTTGTCGTTGTTTCAAATCAGGGACGGGTTGAGTATGAAGTAGCCACAAAGCATTTTCCGTCTCTCTCTTTCACCTCTGTCTCTCTCTCTCTCTCCTCTGTCTCTCTCTCACCTCTGTCTCTGTGTATCGCTCGCATTCTCTTTTTCTTTGTTTGTCTCTGTCTTTCTTTCTCCCCACCTATTTATCACTCTATCTTTCTCTCGTTCCCTCCTGTCAACTAGGGCATGTGTATACATTTTGCTAGCACTTCCCCCTGCTCTCTCTCTCTCTCATACACACACACACACTACCGGGTTTGGGCCAGAGAGTTTACAGTTATACAAACCCTCTCTGGCTCTGGTATGGGCGCTGAAACTTTCCGACTTCATAAAAGAATTCCCCTACCGGGTCAGTATACTTCGAGACTTTGTTCCCGGTTACCGGGTCTGTATACACTTCGAAATTAATTTGGTTATCTACAAAGAAGATGCTACGGCTATTTAACTTTTCGAATCGAGCCGAACTACGCGGATCGCCATTTTGTTTTGACCGGAAGTTCTCGCGCTACTCCTCTCTCTTTCTCTTTCTCTCTCTCCACTGCCCACAGACAAAATTGTACGCTTTTACTTTTAGTAGGCTACAGTTGTAATGGAACGTTTGTTCACTGCACAGAATTCTACAATTTTTCTGTTATCACAGTGTAGAATTCTGTGGTTTAGGGTGAACGCAAAATTTGTTGGCCTAGATCTAGGCTATAACGGTGAACGCGCACCGGGTGAGAATAGCCAAAAGACTCGCCTGCTCTATTCTCACCCGGGAGGTGGCCTTTCAGTTAGCCCTGCCCGCCTTGGCTTTCTTCTTGTAGTCTGCTATGCCATGCCATTACTACCGGAGAAACCATCATGAAATAGTACAAAATAGAACCAAAACATGTCACCTACCATTTTGTTGGATTCCAATACCACTAAGTTATCAACGAGCGGCACAACTGACTACACTCCGTTGTCGGAATCAACGGAAGGGTGCGTTAAATTTTAGAAAGATATCGTAGTGACTTGCAAATGCATGAAAATAATCCTTTTCCTAACTTTTTCTCTCTAGATTTTGAAGAGCTTATTAAATCTACATCCGGTTCTAAGAAATGCCACTACGTATTCTATCACCTTATAAAGATTCTGATTCCTTTTCCCTTAAATTCGTTCTTTATAGTCCTATTACAAACATTTAAAACAGGCTATAGGCCTAGCAGAAAATTTTCAAAAGGATACTTATTACGAAAACAAGTAAAACTAGGCCTAGCTGTTAACTTGGGTTATCAATATCGAAAGTTGGCTATGCGCATGTCTCGCTTGAAATCCGTTTCCACTTCCTTTTCCATGAAAACTTCAGAATGGTGAGACAAGAAAATGTTCAGAAGCATGTTACAATCCAAGCGATATCAACCTATTTGTTTGTTATTTTTGTGAATATTGTAGTTTTGTTTTAAGATGGTTCATTGTTTTAACATTTAAAACATATTCTCCCCCCAGAGCTTTGGGATAAATAGCAAAACTGGCCATTTTTCATAACTGTTTTAGCGAAAGTGCCTTAGTTTTCCAATTTGTATACGTTTGTATTTTGGTACCGTATTTTAGTGATTGTGCATTTCTGGTCTGGGACATCCCTCAGATATTTTAAATGAAAGGGATACGTTTTAAGCTTACATGGCTTACTTTAAGAATAGAACCTACATCTAGACTAGCAACAAGTGGGGGCTTTCACAAATGGTCTGCTGCGAGGAGAAAGCCAAGCTCCCCTCTGCCAGATCACAACACTGATGATGGTCAGGTTTTAGCCTTAGCAGGTTTCTAGAATCTAGCTATTGCAGGGTTTGTAATAAATCCCAGAGTCCTGTCTTGAAGCCGTCCTATTTGCTATTAACCCCTGGGTCCCAAAATCTGCACACAGGTGGGTGTGCCAAGCTATCATCAGGTCTCGTGTTCGCACAGCCAAAGTGGGTATATTCACTCCTGTCACATGCTGTGGTAGCCTACTATTGACATTGTATAGGTCTAGCCCTTTTCTTGTTCATTTCCATTTTCGTTTTCATCCATTTTACACAATCGAAGTGTATGCAGACCCGGTAACCGGGAACAAAGTCACGAAGTATACAGACCCGGTAGGGGAACTCTTTCGTGATGTCGGAAAGTTTCAGTGCCCAGACCCGATAGTGTGTGTGTGTGTGTGAGAGAGAGAGATAGAGTGGGAAATAGGTGGGGGGGGGGGGTAGAGAATGAATGCCATAACGAAGACGTACAATCCAGAAAGACGTCGAGGTGCTTCTCCAGGTATGTTCTGGCCGACTGTGACCTGGCTCCGATGGCCATGGCTTTACAGTCGTAGTAGTTGGCCGATGGGCAAGTCTGGTAGATGTGGGGACCCTGAGACTGGAGGTTGGGGAAACAAACAAAACAACAAAGATGTCATAAAGAGAAAAAAACAGTGAAAAAGATGTTAAAATACGATTCACTACAAGGAGCCATCCGGAATTCAAAAGTACAATTGACATCCCTGCGTACAGAAAGAGCAACTCACAGAGAAAACACTGTAACAATCCTTTGAAAACTTACTGTCTTTTTGGCCAGACAAAGTTTATCTAAAAAATGTTGACAAGTGAGTGCTTTGATCACAACCAAGATAGCCCACTACAGCAAACTTGTACGAATAAAAGTCTAAATTGAAAGAAGAAAGTAGAAGAAGAGAAGAAAGAAAAGTAGAAAATAAGAATAAAAAGTAGAGGAGGAGGAAGAGAAGACTAATTTCTTCAACAAGTGTAAACTACCAACACAGCAGACTAGCATCATCACAAGCTTGTTTTGTTTTTTTGTGTTTTTTTGTAAGTGTTTTACGGTGCTTGGAACTGCATAAGGTCATATGAGCGCGCGGGACACATTAAACTTTTTCAGTTGGTAGGAAATTTTGAATTTTGCCCGGGTGGCAGCCGAAGCCTACTCTTATCGATTTTAGACCACCAAGGGATCTTTAACGTGCGCAACTTGCACACGGGCCCTCCGAGATTTTTTGCCCTAGTCCGAGAA